CGCCGGGGTGCCCGGGCAGTGCTTTGGGGCGACGGGATGCGGTGCCCATTCTTCTGTTTTTCTCGTTCATAGCAAGGGTGAAGCTTCGGTTTACATTTCAGGAGGAAGAGAAGGGGAAATGCAAAATTGTTCTAGGGTCTCAGAGTCAGCAAAACAGCATATGATAACGTGAAGTGCTGCTTTGCTTAAAAACCTCTATCGAAACAGAACAGTTTGAAAAAGGAGGGTTTTGCCGTGTTAGGTGCTGGCTCTGTAGTTCCCAACTTTTCATTGTTTCGGTATATAATGGAACCCAAAACCACAAATGAAGGGCTACAGGGAAATCAGGACACGAGAATACAGCATCTGGACAGAAGGCTTCCCAGCACAGCCCACCCCATCTCGGGATACCAGTACTCAGGGAGGGGAGGGCTGAAAGGGGCAGCTCATGTACAAACGAGCCCGATGCGTTGGGATGGCAGACAACAACCCTTTCTGCAGGTCTGTTCCCGCTGGAGCTGGAACTCCGGCAAAACACAGCAGCAGGGTGCAGCCCCTCCAGGGCTGTGCAGCCTGTGAGGTCTGGGTGCTGTGCTTATGCCAGGGCAACACTGGGCTCCGGGCCCTCTGCCCTGTGGAGGATGTGACAGCCAGTCCCTCAGGTCAGGCTCTGGGGGAGGGAGGAGCAGGGTACACATAGGATAGGGGTGAGCCAGGCTTGTGCAGACCCCAAGCAGCTGAGGACTGCAGTGTGCTTCCCACTCTTGAGGGAGGATGGTTAAACTGGGTGGTGGTGTCATCTAAATATTGGACTAAGGCATCCTGTGAGTCTTCAAACCTCTTATGTGGTTCTTTTGACTCATAAGAAATGGCTGTTGCTGTTCAAGGATGTCCTTACCTGAGTGATAAATGAGCTGAGATTCTTCTAAACTGCAGCTCTTTTCAACAAATGCCTCACCTGGACACGCAGCCATGGTGCACAGGTGGCGACACCCCTGGCCCTGGGATGTCCCTGGCACCATTCGAGACAGCCTCTCCAAGCTGTGAGCAGCATGGTGCCTGCAAGGAGGGGAGGAGGAAAGTACCCTGGGGCCACTGCCCCACTGGTGGGGATGAAGAGGAGGATGGGAGACACTGGGTATGCTGACCCAAGCAGTGGGATTTCATCCACAGACAATCATTCAGTGCCAGGTTCCACTGCTGGTAAGCAGTTGGTTCCTGTAACCAGCTTCGTATTCCCTTAGCAATTATTTGTGAGTAACCAGTAACGTCACCCATAGGCTGAAGTTTTCGATGAGGTTTGTCTGATTTCAGGAAAACACATCTGGCAGAATACAGCCTAATTCTGATGAGGCTATTTAATGAAAAAAGTGAAAATGCCGTTTTTCCAAAAGTGAAGTTTTCACTGTTGGCTCGTGGGAAAGAATTACTGCATTAGGCTTCTGGGCTCTGCACTGAGCCTGATCAGGCTGTGATTGCCATGGAAATGTAGCTTGATAGTGCTCTAATAAAATTAAATAGTTTTGATTAGTTCAATAAGCTCAAATGAAACATTTCTCTTCCAACAACATAATTTTTTTCATTAGCACTTCACAAAGTTTTGATGTTTCTGAATAAGTTTTCTTTGAAGTAAGTCTTCAAAAGAGCATGACTTGTAACAAGCCATGGTATCTCCTGCCTGATTTTGAAGGCAGAGTAGGGTAGGCATGCTTTGCCCAGTCCTTTTGTAAGCCTTTAGTTCCCATTTGCTGAAGGTTTGCACAGCACATGGAAGTTCAGGGCCCATTCCTGTTTAAAACATCTAGATGCTACTGGAATCAAAATACTAAATAATAAGTTATATGGTGCAATGCTGTCCCTACAACAAAATCAGAGATAACATTTGTATTTGGGGTCCTGCTTTATTGTACTAGCATTACTGAAGGCTTACAAGTCCTTCAAACGGGTCTCTCTAACTGCTAGTGGTCTTAGATACTGCATGAAGATCTACTTCTCACTC